ATGCTATACACTGCATTATCTTAGAGCAGTGTCCCCAGCCTTGTCCGTATGCTATACACTGCATTATCTTAGAGCAGTGTCCCCAGCCTTGTCCGTATGCTATACACTGCATTATCTTAGAGCAGTGTCCTCAGCCTCTGCCTTGTCCGTATACTATACACTGCATCATCACTGCGTGCAATTCTCTTTTTTGCAGAATATATTTCTTGCTTTTCTGTACTTTAACTGTGCATCTTAAGGCTGTATCTACTTTACCAGCTAGAAAACCTCATTCAGATGTACAGAACCATTTTGGCCCCAGGGAACCGGAACAGTAGCTGGACCGTTAATATCGCTCCATAAGTACCGTACTGCTTCCTGCCATAGACAGCTGTCACGCTCCAGAAAAATGACGCCTCTTCTCTGATTTATATGTAAAACTGTCCTTTTTGGATTCGGATTTAAAACTTTGTGCATTGTACTGAGGTCAGATGCAGAATGTCCTTCTTTTGCTTTTTCAGCTGATGGAGAAGGAGCTGAAGGGGCTGGAGGTAGAGGGCCTCGCCCTGCCTTCACAATGGAGCTGTGAGGCCCAGCAGCAGCTCCGGCGCTCTCTCTGTCAGGTTCGGCCCATTTCTAACTACTGGTCCATTTTCGGCAGAATTTCTGGTTCTGGGAACAGAGAGCATGAAGGACTACATGAGTATGACCCTGCTCTGTCTTCAGCTGGCCATCGTCCTTATTTTAACAAACCACTGACAGACAAAGCAAGAAGCGCCTGCTGTTGTACGCTTTAAGGAAACTGCGTAGTGACCTTCCTTAAATAACTCTAGATCAGTGTTTCCCAATCCGGTCCACGGGGACCCACAGCCGGGCCCCTGCCAGGCAGTCCACAATTTTGCTTCGGGAGCTGGGAGGGAGCAAAAATATGAATTGTCTGTGGGTCCCTGAGGACTGGATTAGGAAAGAGTGCTTCAGATGATTAAAGAATAACGGGTGCAGAAATCGGCTGTGCGATGATGGCTGCGCATGCGTCTGCGCAGGTGAGGGAGGCACTGGAAGAAGCAGAACAGGCCTGTGAAGGCCTGCAGCACAGCACAGGGGAGCTGGAGGCACGGCTAGCAGAGCTGAGGCGCTGGGAGATGGACGCGGGGGAGCTCTACCGACTCCTGGTGCGAGGCCAGGCGAGAGGTCCTCAAACTCTGGGTCCCAGAATCAGGGTAAGTGCTGACAGCTTCAGGAAGCTTGTTTCCTTTGGTAGGTCTGGAAGATTTTCAACAAATGGCTGATAAATAGAGGGACTTGCTTTGTTAGTTTGGCACATGTTTTTATTGTTGTTTCTCAGTTAGATGTTGATCTCCTTTAATCCCCTCTGAATGTATTGTCTGTGTTAGATCTTTTATGGATTAGTTCTGAATTTTCTGCTTCTTTAGAGGTTGATCTCTCAGGGCCTGAGGCTGGAAGCGCAGGTGATGGCAGAGGGGGAGGAGCTCGAGGGGGTGTCAGTCGCGGTGCGGGGGAGGACATCTATACAGGGCCTGAGCACCTCCGTGATGAAACAACAGGTTCAAGAAGCTGTGCCACGAGTTCAGGCAAGCGCACCATCGTTTAACAACTCGTTACTCTGGAAGTGTCTTTTCTGCTTCTGTGATTTTTGTATGTTTCTCTGTTCCTCCAGGAGGCTGTTAGAATGCTCAGTTTGTGGAATTACAGCCCAGCTGAACTGGTCCAGCCCCTGTCCAAAAGCAGAACCAGTCAGACTTACACAGAAATCTACAGCACAACACAGGTTCAGACTCCAGCCCAGAGCTACTCAGAGACCTTCACCACAACACAGGCCCAGACCCCAGCCCAGAGCTACACAGAGACCTTCACCACAACACAGGCCCAGACCCCAGCCCAGAGCTACACAGAGACCTA